GCATGTAAAGTTTATAATCGAATAAAGATGGATAGAAAATTCCAACGACCAACATGTTGGGCAGAAAGCCCGCCAGGCACGATCACCTCGCCTGGTCGGAGGATCCTCCTTTTCCGATCTTAGGGAACTATACACTCTGTTCCCTATACCGGGCACAATTCTAGACTAAGATTTTTAAAAACTCAGTAGTACTTTGCCCGCCCTGGGAATCGAACCCAAGACCCCTTGCCCGGCAGTCGCACTTGCGACCACTCGGCTAACGAAGCAGTAAGCCGAAAACATAATAATATATTTATACTCGGAATTTTAATTCGATTCCAGATTTGACAATTTCAGTGTTGCAACGTTATGACAAGTACTAAATAGTGACGTTGCGAAATTATTCTATATGGAAATGCAATATTTCTGGATCGATTCTTCATGTTTATAATTTTATTCTAGTATACTAAGTATTTTTGGAAATTAAATATTTCTGAACCGATAAATTAGTTTTGACGAATAATTAACGATCTGAGACTTTTCTTTTATTATTGTGTGTGAAATAAATAAAAAAATGCAATCATGAAGGAACATGACAAATAAAACAAATAGATGTATTATGGTAATAAGTTATTTTATAAATTGTCGCCGTCATCGCTATCGCTATCCTGTCACTTTCTGTAACATTTATTATAAAACACACACACTGATTGTTTATCGATTTTTGTGTTCATCACTACACTATTATATGTGGTATCATTATTTCACAAAATGACAGTAGCTATTGTCAAATCTGGAATCTAATTAAAATTCTGACTATAGTATGTCTCACGAAAGGCTATAATATAGAACATTATCATATCGAAATTCGATTCCCGCATGGAACAAATCTTTGGATCACATCCACAAAATGTAGTCCCGGGTCTGAGTGTAATGTGTATGTAAACTTTGCTTTTAGCCAAACGGCACCTTAGCGCTTGTCTACAGAGAGAGTAGAAAACTAAATGTATGAGAATGACACTGACAAGCGTCAAAATTTACGTCAATCCCACATAATTTGGTTTTCTATTCTACATGTAGACAAGCGCTAAATGGCATTTGATTACAGCTCCTTATATGTTTGTAAACGCACCCACGACATAGGAGAAAATCCTAGTGTTTGGCAACGATAGACGTTACATAATGCATTATGTACAGTGAAGCTTGGTTAAGTGGGACCTGGATAAGTGAGAAACCTCCATAACTGGAACTCATGCTGAGGTCCCAACACTTTGGCACTGAATTACCTCTGTTAGTGGGACGAGGTAAACCTCTATATCTGGGATTTGTTCTTTCGATTTATCATCATAGTTACCTCTATATCTGAGACAGTGAGTAAATTTTATACGTATGAACGTCTGTAACTGAGATAACATTGTTTGTTTACTCATTCTTATTCTAACCACAAATTCCACACGTAATTCCAAGTCCACCTCTATTAATGGAACCTTCTGTAAATGAGACAGATATTTATTTATACCTGTATACCTGAGACACTGGGTAAGTGGAATACCTCTATAAGTAGAACGACATTGCAGGTCCCTTGATGTCTCACTTAACCAGGTTTCACTGTGTTTAATTCAAGAATAGCAAAGAGTTGTTGACACTCGACAAACTTGACAGTATTTATCTTAAGCCAGAAATAAAAAGGAAAAATTTTAGCGTCAAGTAAAAAAAGTAGCTGTTAAAAGAAAGATTAAGCCATCGCGATGAAAGTTCGTAACTTTAATCTTTTTTCTAGATATCTTTTTTATCTTTATGCTTGTCTACACGTGTTCAAGAAGTTTCCTTGGAGTTTTATCTTAACTAGCTTTTGCTTGCGACTTCGCTCGTGTTAATGGTATAAAAATAGCCTATGTTTTATCTATCTATAACTATACATATAAATTGACTGCACGGTTGGTGCGGTGGCTGGGCAACCGGCTGCCGTGCAACGTGTCGTGGGTTCGATTCCTGCACGAAACAACACTTTGTGTGATCCACAAATTGTTGTTTCGGGTCTGGGTGTCATTGTGTATGTGAACTTGTATGTTTGTAAATGCACCCACGACACAGGAGATAATACTAGTGTGGGGCAACGTTGAAAAAAAAAATCGTTGAAAATTCAAACTGTACACTGAATATTTTTTTAAAAGAATTTTTTAAAATATAATTGAGGCGTGTTTTACGTGCGATACCGAAGCCAAATATAGTAGTAGTATTTTTGTTTGCTTTTTTGTATGTATGTCCGGGATGATCACCAAAAGTGCTGCATGGTTTTGCGGAGATTATGACAAACGCTCTTATGTAGAGCAAGCTCATAGTGCAGCAATGGACTGCCACCCTCTATTGATGTTGGTGATGATAATGATGAATAAAATTAAAAATCAGTTCATATAGGACTTATTTTCTAGGCGATAAGGTTCTTAATGATGCAGCTAGTCTACTTGAGACTGATCACAATCAAATACAATGATTATTAGTAAAATAAATCGCCCAAATCCAATGTCAGATGTTATGACGTTGACGTAAGATTCTGACAAGCCACAGATAACATTATATCGTTTATAATAATTATAAAGTGTAGCCAAAGGCTTATTGTCAGTGCCTTTAGTCAAACGCCACTCTAGCGCTTGTCTACAGAGAGAGTAGAAAACTAAATGTATGGGGATGACTCTGACAAGTGTCCAAATTTACGTCAATGCCATATAATTTGGGTTTTCTAATCTACATGTAGACAAGCGCTAAATGGCATTTGGCTACAGCTGCGGGACAGACAGATTGCAATATGATTTGGTTTATCAAGTGTCTACCTCTTTAGTGTAATAGTATAAATAAAACTATTCAAGAAAATTTATATTATTATGAAGGTAAAATAATAACGTTCTACAAAATCAAAAAGAGCTTTAATCAGTCAATATAGCTGTAAAATTGTAAAGAAAATACAACATTTAGTTTACGTTAAATATAAATATCAAAACACACAGACATGAAGAATAAATAGAAAATATTTGAAGACCAGAACTGAAGAAGTTTTAAAACATTGATAAGTATTAAAGAATTGGTGATTAGGGTACTTTCATTAATCAAAAATAAATTATTTCGACTGTTCAGTACAATGAAATATAAAAAAAAATAATCACACTTTCATTAATTGATTTTATGACCAACTTAATTTTAATATTATTTCAGCATTTCTTGAAGATATAACTATGCTGTTTGACGCTAAAAAAACGTGACGTCACAATACACAATCTCGTACAAAATTCATAGAGAACTGTCGTTTTTGACAGTTCGATAAAAGTATTGAATTTGACTAGTTGGCGAGTACCAGGCATTTCATATTATAAATTTCGACATAAAAAACTGGGAAGTTATATTAGGGTTCTATATCAATTCGTATAATTACTTTTGCCTAAGGAAAGTCTTTTGGTATAACATAATTTGGTATAATTTGTAGTTCTTAATGACATTTTGCCTAATTTTCTAAAACGTGCTATTTTTTACGCAGATCCAACTTCCTGAAACAAATCCTTGTATAGAACTACTATCTTATGAATTGACATTATGCATATGTGGACACCATATTAGACTATAACATATTGTCGCGGAGAACCTAGCGGGTAACCGGGGCTCCGGCTCCAGCTCGACGTGCAGGAGAAGGAACAGGGTGGTTTTTAGTCAGTAAGAGTCTGACACTCCCTCCCGCCTCACCCAGGCGGGAGCAGTCATTCGATGATTTTCCCCCCTTAAAAAAAAAGACTATAACATATTTATTCGTTTTTTTTCGCAGTTTGTTTTCGCAGGCGAAAGGAGCTCTATACATTACTTTTGTAGGAAGACATCTTATTTCTAAAAACTACATACTTATCATTATGCAACAGTAATGGTTTGGCATAGAGATTATAGTATAATGTAGTACATATTTTATCAAAACAACCTAACCTAACCTATATGCATCAATATACTGCTTCAGAACTTTATGCCAAAAGACATTTACACATAGACCTTTATGTGTTAGCTGTTATGCGCGAGTACGTCATGTGTTAGTATCATGATTACAAAAATATGGATGGTATTTAATACTTTAACTGTAAATTCCCTTTTTTCAATCAAAATATTCGAAATTACCACCAAAAATACTGAATTGAACACTAAATTTGCTTATCAAATAAATCAATTATACTATACTGTTAGATCATACAGTTTGAGTATTTGTGCGACCCACGCAAATGTTCTTTAGGTTGGTATTGTTCGTCGAATCAGTCAGCCTCACCTGTTAATTGAGCTGATTGTAAACCGACACATGCGTACTGCCTTCAGAACGGGTCCGCTCAAACTGTTGTGGTTCTTTCCTCAAAAGCCCACTACAGAAAGAACTGGCACGGTTCTCACACATAATCTGTTATACATATTGTCTGGACTTTAAAAGAGACAGACCTCTGAGTTTGCATCGGCATTTCTTCTCAGAGTAGTCAGTTAGGAAATGTCGACCTCATCGTTCGCTTGATAAAATTGACGTGTAAAAGTGCTGCCTTGTAGCCTATTTGCAGAAATAAATTCACTTGTTTCACTTGTTTCATTTGTTTCACTTGCTTTAAAGCTTAACTGTTTTACTGAATCTAATAATTCTTCGAGTGCAACAAAATATATTATAAAAACAACAAAAAATAACAAACCTAACCTAACCTAATATTGAACAATTAGTGTGGAAATTAGTATTTTTGTATTACGGCTTATTTTTTTGTTATGCAGTAGGTTATTAGTGGAGAAATTTAGTTTGCCTACTAAATAGAGGTGCAGTAAAAAATTCCCCCAAAATTATTATACCAAATTATATTATACGAAATCTTTTTATACGAGCAAGAACATAGACAAAATGTTTCGTACGAATAGTCAGAGAGTAACAGAATTATAAGACATAAGAGAGTGAAATAGGAAATTCATATAATTATACCAGACAATAGACAGTAGATATTAATATAATAATTTAGTTTTAGTACCTTGGACTGACAATCCGTGTTGGCCCCAATTATGGCCCTGACGACGCAAATCCTCCCATCCTAGGGAAAAATAACTGGAATATTATATCAGATGACATAATTTTGATATAATCGAAAAATTCATATAAAAATTTAATGACTCGGGATTCGAACCCTGTGCATTGGGATTAGACTCGTAACCTATTAGTTAGGACTTTTCACACAAGTTCCATGTAATAGGGGGTGAGTCGTACCCAGAACAGATATCTAAAATATTTTTTCGGCCCATCAGCTAAAATAAAAAAAACACATATACACATAATCACGCCTTTTATCCCCAAAGGGGTAGGCAGAGGTGTACATTATGCTACTGTACAATGTAACACCCACTTTTCACTATTTACTTTATGAGTCCCATGTAATAGGGGGTGAGCCTATTACCGTATACCGGACACAATTCCAGACTTCGTGCTACTACTGAGAATTTATAAAAACCCAGTAATACTTTGCCCGACCCGGGAGTCGAACCCGAGATCCCTTACCCGGCAGGCGCATTTGCGACCACTCGGCCAAAAAATTAAAAAAAAATACAGTCAATTTAAACTGTCAAACACCAAGCGGTCACCGGTGACCGCAACCTATTGTTCTATAATTGTGTCTACAAAACCGGTACTCGACGAGTTAATATCTAGGTAAGACAATAAAGATTGATTCAGTACAGACAGTAGCCATTGTTAGACTAAATTGTACGCTTTGTAACGAAGCCATGTCTTTTGTAACTCAGTCGGCTCTAGACAACCAATGGCTACCATACATAACGTCTCAAGCTAAATCAGAACTGTCGCGGAGAACCTAACGGGTAACCGGGGCTCCGACTCGACGTGCAGGAGAAGGAACGGGGTGGTTTTTAGTCAGTAAGAGTCTGACACTCCCTCCCGCCTCACCCAGACGGGAGCAGTCTATCGATTATTTTCCCCCCTTTTAAAAAAAGCTAAATCAGAACTATAATCTTTTCTTTTTCGATCTATTTCACTGGATTTTGGTGTTACATTGTTCTCGCACAATCGAACCAATAAAACTGTGTAACTGGAAAATTGTATTGTGAACCTGATTGGAAAAGAGTAACCTATGGAGTTTCTTTCTCGTTCTTCTCCATAGGAATCTACACCTTGGAATGAGCAAATAGGTTCACTTTTCAATTTCTATTGCTGACGTTCAAAAGTGCCTTCCCGGTCTAATTGAAATAAATGATTTTGACTTTGACTTTGATCTACTACGGCGTAGTCAATGTCTACGCCGTAGTAAATTTTTTGGACGGCGTAGTTAATGTCTACGCCGTAGTAGATTTGCTACGAAATCGTAGTACTATCTTTACTCTAGTTTGTCTCTGTAATGAATCAATCATTGTTTTCTTACCTGTATACTAAATTATTTGGCTGTATATCACCGAAGGGGTAGACAGAGATGTACATAGATAATGTAACACTCATTTTTTACGATTAAAGTTATGAGTACACTGCATGCATTGTAGCAAGCATCACTTCAAGCAGTTGAGAATTTTAAGATCAAAAATCTCAATAATAAATATTATGTATGACCCAGGAATCGAACCCAGATACTTCTGTTTGTTAATCGCTCTTGCGATCACTTGACCAAAGGCAACCTGAAATATATTTTTTAATATTCTTACTGATGGACTGAAAAAAAAATTGGTTATCATTTAAAAAATAATTTTCTAAACATTAAAACTAACTACACATTTAACAATCATGCTAAGGGAAAAGGGATACTATTTTAATCATATAAGGTTGGTTATAGATTGCAGTTTATTATCACTGTTTTAGCTTTTGTTTTGGGTTGCGCACAAAATGTGATTTTTATTTTTATGTAGATAAATTTACAGTTCAATTTTGATTGTACTGTCAGATATTATTTGTTGTCTTATTTTTTTTCATAGCATTTTAAGTAGAACACTCTATTACATCAATAGCCTATAAGTGGTCACTGCTGAGCAAAGCCTCTTCTCACACGGAGAAGGTTTGAGCATTAATCACCGCGCTTGCTCAATGTGGGTCGACGATTTCAAACTTATAATTACAAATTATAAATTCAGGTTTCCTCACGATGTTTTCCTTCACCGTTTGCCAGTGATGTCTAGATAATCTTAGAAAGTACATATAACTCGGAAAAGGTCACATTGGTACTTGCCGTTGGTAGGTTTCGAAACCTCACCCTCATGCATGAGAAGCGGGCGTTTTAAACCTCCGTGACACCACGACATTTTATTACATAATTGGAACAGTAGTAGAGTTTTTAATAGGTAGTCAAAGATAATCGTTGCCTACAGGCCATGGCAGTCCACTGCTGTACTACGAGCCTCCTCTACATAGGACGGTTTGTTATAATCTCCGCAGGCAGGCGGGTTGGAGATCTCAGTATAAAAAGTTCAGGTTTATCAGAGAGCGCTGCTGCCCGGTTTCTGTCCTTATAGTCTCTTAGTTGGGTACACGACACCAGCGGGAAAAACAGGGATAGGGAACAATGTTTCCTTTTAATACGCAAATAAGGAAGAAGTCGAAGGCAAACGTTTGTATTTATTTAATAGCATTCTGTCTCTGAAGCAACGTATTAAAAGTTTCAGTCGAGAATGTTCAGATATTCAGTGGGTCGGCCTGAAAAATATTTCAATTAAACTATACGTTTGTGTAAGAATATTTCTGACTGAAATGTCCTGTTTAAGATATAAACTGAAAGCGATTTTCAGAGGTAATTGGGTAGTAGTGTATGTAAATGAAAAATGTAATTAGTCCGTCAGTTCATCATCAACAGCCTATAAATGCCCACTGCTGAGCAAAGCTTCTTCTCACACGGAGAGGGTAGTCCGTCAGTTAGATAATGAAAAAATATTAGACACGTATGTGTGTAATATTTTTCTTTATTTTCGCGTATAAAGTTTACAATCTATATATATAAAAGAAAATCGTGTTAGTTACACTATTTATAACTTAAGAACGCCTCAATGGATTTAGATGAAAATTGGCAGGGAGGTAGCTTAGAACCAGGAGACGGACATAGGATACTTTTTATAGAATACTTTTTTTTTACTTTTTACCGAAAATCACGAACGGTAACGGGGGGAAAATGGGATTGCGCTTACGAAGTCGCGGGCAGAAGCTTAACTTAACGCCATTTTATGTAAGTACTAACTTAGATAAAATGGCGTTAAGTTTAGGAGTGGAAGGTCGTCACACGATATTTCAAATTAATATATCGTCGATAGTATTTAATTATGTAAAAAAGTAAAGTTACGTGTCTAATGTTTTAAATTAATCTACCAGACGGACATTAAAAAAAAATTTAGAAGACTACCTTTGCAAAACAATGTTGGTGTTGAGTAAAGGGTCTGGGATCGAACACAATCATTTTTATAAAATAGGGTTTCCTAAGCTATGAGAAGAAAGGTTCCTCTGACCAGCAGCTGTAGCCAAATGCCATTTAGCGCTTGTCTACTTGTAGAGTAGAAAACCAAATTATATGAAATTGACGTAAATTTTGACACTTGTCAGTGTCATACATTTTGATTTCTATTCTCTCTGTAGACAAGCGCTGAAGTGGCGTTTGGTTAAAGACTCAGGCCACGTGATCATGCCTGACGAGCTACTACCCAATCGATGCGTCTGCACAGATAACAAAATAAAGATTTAAATAAGAAACGACAGAGTTGATTATCCTACGGGCAATTTCTTTTTTTCAAACTCAAAGTCAATCATTTGTTTTGAATTTATCCTGAATTAGGTACTCTTGAAAAATTGAATTGTACGTCCGTCTGTCTGTCAGTGAAGCTAGGCCCAAAGTGTAGTTTCGAATGGAGAAGAACGAGCTAGAAACTCCATTAATAAACCGAATGTGCCCTGGGACCCAATGACCCAACTGTTTCGACCCGAAGCAGCTTAAAATTTGAACCTGCTTGATTTGAATATTTAAGCTGCTATAATAAATACTCCTACTCGCTTTCCGCTCATGCCTTGCACCACACCCCGCCCAGCGGAGCGTGCACAAACCGTTTGTATCTTTTCCTTTTACTAAAGACATTGTTTTCTTAATGTGTGAGCAGATCTTTTTTCTTTTTTCAAAGGAACTGTGCCCTACAATGTTACGCCGCCATTTTTTGTGTGTCTTTCAAGAGTACTGCCTTTTCTTTTTTTCTTTTTCAAAGTGGCATGCTTGTGTGTTGGGATTTCGCTATGAAGATGTGGTTTATGATACCAGTGCGAATAACATTTCTATAATTTTGTATGTAACTTTGACTTTGACTGCCTCGTTGGTTGAGTGGTCGCAAGTTCGACTCGGCAAGGGGTCTCAGGGTCGATTCCCGGGTCGGGCAAAGTATTACTGGGTTTTTAAAAAACATCTCAGTAGTAGCACGGAGTCTGAAATTGTGCCCGGTATATGGCAATAGGCTCACCCCCTATTACATGGGACTCATAACATAAAGTGCGTGTTACATTGTACAGTGGCATTAATGGCCATAATGTGCACATTTGCCTATAGTTATTTGAGGAAATCTGGGCTTATAATTTCTAATTATAAGTCTGTAATCGCAAACCCGTATTGAGCTTGCTCAATGCGGGTGCATGCTTAATGCTTAAACCTTCGTTCGTTCGGCGTGGTGATTAATGCTTAAACCTTCTCCGTGTGAGAAGAGGCTTTGGTCAGCAGTGGGCATTTGTGGGCTGTTGATGAATGATTGAAGATTATTATGATCGAAATTTACCTTAAAAATAATACTTTTTTCAACCCATCTTATTTTACCCGCTAACGCGTCATTTGATAGTCACTCAACCATTTTTTTTTAAAGACTTCATGCAGAAACTTATGTACAAGGTGGGCTTAATACCTAGGGCATTCTCCTCCAGCCAGACCTTTGGGTGATGCAGAGACAACAATGGTCGATGCAAGAAGCAAGCGTATTTAGGACTAAACAGAAATACATAAAAAAGGATAGTATAGACTTACATAAAATAAATGCCTATATAAACTTACATAACATAACATAACATAACATCACGCCTTTTTATCCC